AACTGCCTGTCGGCTGTGGTGAGCAAAACATGGTTCTTTTCGCTCCCAACATCCACGTGATGAAGTATCTGAGCAAGACGAATCAACTGGATCCTGCCATCAAGGAACGACTCCTGCGTAACATGCGGACCGGTAATGAATTTTTTTCATATTATATAATTATGGTGCGGTTTTTATTTGAATCGCACTATATGTTCATATCATTTTTTTTTTTTTTAACGAATTGATTTCATTCGCATTAATTTTTCCTAAATGTTCTCTGTACATGTAAATACATTTTAATTCATTATTTATATTGTTGAGAACTGCATTCCGGTGAGAATCGAAATGGCTAACTGCGGTTTTGGACGCACTGTATTGTAGTTAATGAGTACATGTGTGATCCGAAGAATAATTATGGTTGATTTATAAAAATTATAAGAACGTTTCTTCTACCTTTGAAAAATTAAAATGGAACTCTCAGAAACAGTCACGTATCAGTTTGGTAATCAATCAACCAAAAATCATTTTCAAAATTAGAGAGCTCTGCGCTTGTAGGTCTCGAAAAAATGTTTAATGTAAAATATTTTAGCCGATTTCGAAATTTGAAGCGTGACGAGAGAAAAATGCCAGAAAAAAGCATCCTAGGGATATTTCCCCGCGTGGAACTCGCAGAAAAAAATCTTACTGTTCAAAAGTCTTGCGTTTTCGACGATACGGAATGAAATTCGCGTGATAGCCCCATCTATTTTATTCTTTCTTCAGAAATGTGTAGTTAAATGAAGGAAATGCAACCGACTGGCATATTGAAGAAAGAAGATGCGAAGAGATAATAATTACACATGTGCAGTATGCATCAGGTGGTACGATGTCTCATTTGATGATTTTTGCTGAAAAAAGTTTTTCGTTTGCGGATTCGATACCATAATCTAACCCAATTTCACCGCTTTCTGTTCGAATATTTGGATTTTCAAATCGAAGAAAATTATTTATAACTATACTTTAGCAAACAGCTGAACTTCCGTAAACTTTTTCCAAATAGCGTCCCGCATTTTTCTTCGAAATTCATGAGGTCATTTATCCATGTTTGAGCTGTCGAAAAAGTCCGGAACAAACTTTTTTTTATGAAAAAGAATGGTAACAACCACGCAGAAAATGTGATGGTTCCGCGAAATACTTTTCCATTATTCCGTTCCGATTCAAAATATTCCTCAAGTCTATACATGTACTGTCCTGTGCCAACTTTTTCGGTCCTTTGAAATTCCTGATTTTTTTTAAAATCCCCCCTGAATGCTACTTCTTCGGGTTTCTCCAAAAGTGCCCTTATACAATGATCTGCGGAGAAACCAGCAGCTGCTGGTAAGATGAATGTTTACTGAATGTGCATTGCTGACACAAAAGCCATGATGATGATGGTGGATGATAAATTTCGTTCGGCTCTCAGTTCTATTCAGCAAGCAGTGATTGATTGTGTAGTCGATTGAGTGATGTGGGAAACATACATCCGGCACGTAAGCCTTTCGCTTCTCTTTTTCAGGGTATCAACGAGAGCTCAATTACAAGCACACAGATGGATCTTACAGTGCGTTCGGAAGTAGTGACCCGGAGGGTTCCATGTGGCTGACTGCCTTCGTCGTTCGATCATTCGGTCAATCCGCTGATTTCATCACCGTGGACGAAAAGCAGCTGCGAGACAGCATCGCTTGGATCTTGGCTCGGCGTCTTGAAAACGGCTGCTTCCCAAAAGTCGGCACTGTGCACCATAAAAAGATGAAGGCAAGTTTATGTACAGTGCCTGTATACCGTAAATGTATGAGGGTTGTGCCAGTTGAACGCGACCTCTGCTGATATTTATAGAGTAGATGTAATTTTAGAAGAAGAAAACCATGACATAGTCCACATTGTTCTAAGCTTCTGTGATTTTTTCGGATTAAAAAAAATTTTTCTGAACTGCATGGTAAGTGAAGATATTCCAGCAATAAAGCCAGATTTTTCCACCCGTATCACTGGGTGCTCAAAAGTTGTCTGGCCAGCTAGAAATTGAAATATTTAGCCGTTTTACCCATTATTTTTCTGAATTTTAGATTATGGTTAAAATAACAAAAAAAATTTCTTTGCTAGCATGAAAGTTTTCTAGTACCCTGTGGCATGGGTGGAGAACTCTGGCTGTAACTGGAAAGTTTTCACGTATCATGCCGGAAAGTTAAAAGAAAATGTAATCTACATTCCCAGGTTCTGGGAAAAGATCCCAGAACCTTAGAGATGGGCGATGTTTAGCTGCGATGTTTATGTTATAATAATCGAATGGGCGATGTTCAGATTTAATTTTTAATTTTTTACAATCAAGCCTTCTCTTAAAATTTCAGATGTTGCCCACTGGGGCAACCCTCGTATGAATAGTACGCATTTCATGCGGAGATGGTATACGCTAGGCTAAAGTTTTAAAAACCTTCAGGTGTAGGGTATGCTCTGCATGCTTGAAATTCACCCACTTCTCATCTGCTCTTTCGATGGGGCATTTAAAAAATCGACTTAGGAAAGCTCTCAATAAATGCCAGATGGTATACTAAAAATAAAAATGGTCTTAATTGATTTTCATCGGTAATTCAGCTAGCAATGAAGTTTTACAGTGCGAGCGAGGATTGTTGGAAATTGAAAAAAGCATGGATTTTGCTGAAATGTCTCTGACTTAGCTTCTAGATAAATATTAGGTTAATTGATTTTCATCGGTAATTCAGCTAGCAATGAAGTTTTACAGTGCGAGCGAGGATTGTTGGAAATTGAAAAAAGCATGGATTTTGCTGAAATGTCTCTGACTTAGCTTCTAGATAAATATTAGGCATGCGGCGTCGCCAGAATCTATCACTGTAGCTTTTTATTGCCCACGGCATCCATGCTCAAGAGAGATAGAAAAACATACTGTTCACGATCAATAAGTATGATGCACAAAAAACGAAAAATGACTTTAATCATCTGTGACTCAAGGTAAAACCAAGAAATACAGGAAATGTTAAATTTTGCAATAGAAAAATATGAATGTCTCAACTTTCAATGCAGTGCTCAGAATTAAGCTACGCCTTTATGGTGATCTCGTGTGAAAAGCGCTCGTTGAGAGAAAAAAAAAGTTTCAAAAAAATCCGAGCGCGTGGAATATAATAAAATTTTGGAAATATCTACATATAATCGAAAAAATCTTGGGATTATTGTGGACATCAGACACGTTAAAAAGAGGAAACCCCAGATGTCAATACTGTGCGTTGGAAAATTAAATTTTCTGCATTTCCCCCAGTACTTGTGATCTAAGCGTGAACGCAAACTTTCGAATCTCTTTTGAGTTACGTGTTCATCATCTTCACGTTTTTAAAGTTACCGTCTTCTTTTAGTTGATAATACTGTGCAGCAGTAATCATACACCACCAAGGAACTTTCCCAGAATTTTTTCTGGCCTCTCTTCATCCGCGCGCGAGAAATCCTTCTTACAGATGGAATATCCACGCGTTTCTTTGATTCGTACAGGGAGGCATTGGGGAAGAGACAAGTTCCCCAGCTCCTTTGACAGCCTATGTCCTGATGTCACTGCTGGAGTCAGGTATTCCGGTCGAGGAGCAGGTTGTGGAGGAGGCGCTGAATTGCATCAGCAAAGACGACAAGCCGTCCTTGTATACCCTGGCACTGGCATGTTACGCTTTCGCATCGTCCGGCGGAAACAATACCGAACACGCGCAAGAACTCTTGGATCAATTGCTGACTGCTGCTACTCGCAAGAATGGACTCATATGGGTACCAGTCGAAGGTGAATGCCGGCTCAACGCGTATAAACGTCTGGCGTTGGTCCAGGAGCCCTTGCTTTATTCTCGCTTGAAACGGTTGAAATTTTAGACTCCCTCAAGTCCGGAGTTAACGTGGAGGCGACTGCTTATGCCTTGCTGACGATGGTGAAGTTGAAGAAGATCGACTCTGACGTGGGGAACGACGCTGATCGAGCAATTGCCTTGAGCATGGTGCGCTGGATCGCGCAGCAGAGAAATTCTAAAGGAGGCTTTGTGTCAACTCAGGTAACCAATCTTTATAAACGGGAGATCAGTAGAAATCCGATTTTCCGAATCTTATGACGAAGTATCTTTGCCCGAGCAATCGAATGCACCGCGATAAATTAAATGCATTGCAGTTCTGTGCGAAGTATTTGATCAACGAAAAATATATATTTAACTACACTGCCGAAAATCTTATGGTGCATTAGCGGCCAGAAGAATTAGTCCATCTGAATAAAGGCGAGGCGTCTCAGATAGAAATTCTCAGGCCATTAAATTTTCTGTTGCGGGACGGAAATGAACATTTACATGGAGCAGTTTAATAACACTGAGTATGATAATACGACACGGGTTGTCTTTTGAATCAACGACGAAGTTTTTCGTGACAGTTGAATGAAACATAACTACAGTATCTTTTCATCAATACAGTATCGCATTTTTCTTCGCAATTCACAATTGCTGCCGCCGGATATTTTGAAAATTTGTGCTTCGATATGATTGTCTCGAAGATTTCCTTTATGAAGGATATTTGAAGAATGGAAACTTCAGAAGAAGATGTTTTCAGGTTGAAAAAGTTAGCTGAGAACCTCTGACGCATTTTTAGCGAAGTCTAGGTGAAATAAAAAGGCAACCTCTGAATTGTAGGATCATGACGTCACAGTTGAAAAAATGTCTTCATATAACATGATATATTTTTCCAGGAGTAGATGTGACTTAAAATCAATGTGCCCTGTTCGCAATGAAAGGCAATCTTTTTATGAAAATTACCAAATTTATTAAAGATTGGGTACTCGATTTCAACTGTCTATGTGTCCAAAATTTGTTGGTGAAGCGAGACTGTTGGGTTACCTCGCATATATCCTGTATGCAGTATAAGAAAGAGAGATCAATTCAAATGATTTTTCTGAAATTAAAGGACACCGTCGTAGCGCTGGAAGCGTTGTCGGAATATTCTGCCTCCATGGGAATCCAAAATGTTGCCATGGACGTCACTGTGATTGAAGATGTCGATAAGGGCGTGGAACCAGACGAACCTATCTACTTTTCTGTTTCGGAAGAAAACAAATTGATCCAGCAGGAATTGAAGCTGAGTGGTGTTCCGAAGAAGCTCACCATGCAAGGATTTGGCACCGGCTGTGCCTTGGTTCAGGTCAGTCGACCCTCTCTGAAAATCGTATTTTAATTTCTTTCTTTTTTTCCAGGACATTCCTGTTTCCTGAATGACTTTCGAAGCCAGTTTTTCAAGTACTGTATAAGTTTAGTTCTATTTTCATCATGCAGCATCATGTCGAACTTCTGCTGATTATGTGCAGCTTATCTGTGGTGACACGCACCGTAAAACATGTTTTCCTTTGTACATCAGCGTTAATTTGGCGCAGAGTATTGTATTCAAAAGCCCATGCACCTCGCACGACTATATAGTGTAAATGCAGTACTCGATATCGAAATTTAAAGAAATTCTTAATGAAATTTATTTCATTCAAAAATGCAGTTTCCTATACGACCGATTTCTTTTCGCTCTCGCGATGGACTGAGTTGATCAACTTAGTTCGACTTATTATTTAGAGATCAAGGGGAATTCCTTTGTCTTCTGATGCAATAACATGTGAATCAAAGATCGATTTTGTCATTTATAGACATTTTTGAAACACTTATTTATGCTTTTTGCTATTGGCTGGAAAATATTCTGAGTTGACTGTGTGATAAAATATTCGGACAGGAGAGGACTGCTGCGGCTATATTGCTTAAAATTGTGACAGCTGGTGTATAAAGTCTTCACGAATCCGAAGAATCAAATAAAAATAGATTGATGCATCAGTGGAAATATTTCCTGAATTCAAACCCTATTCACTGCTCTTCCAAATCAATCAGAAAACCAGGAAGTTTTCGGAAAAAAATGTGCATCTCATCACGGAGTGTGAGCTAACTCAAGACGGAGATTGATGAATTCTGTCGCCAACGAAAGACATCAGTACTGTAATTCTCTTTTTTGTCGCCAACGGCTAACCTGTCAGAAAAGTCGTGGGGAATTTTTTCAATCTTGGGCAACCCTGACATTTTGCCATGAAAAATGGGACAGTTCCGCGTGGCTGACGATGAGCGAGTCAAATACGCGGGCATGACTATTTTACGAACTATTAACCGTATGTTTCGTAACCTTTCAGGATACCGCATCCGAAATATCGATCTAATGCTTTACCCACCTTCTATTTTTCCCAAAATTCTGAAAAATTGAGAAATAAGTAATTGACTTCTACGATAACTATAGCTGATTTTGGTCATTATTTGAGTTCCTTGTAGAATTACTAACATGAATTACTAAATTGTCTGGCTTTTCTCGTTCGCATTTAGAAATTAAAATCATGCCTCATGCGTGATCGCTCGCTTCTTTTGCTTAAATTCAGTGCCATCACTCATTGTTATAAGAAAAAATAATAATCCCGCAAAAAATTGTCTTTGTCTTGAGAAAATTTAATGTGTTCGTGCTTGTTTCCCGGTCGCAGCGGTCAATGTTCCCCTCGCTTCTATCCGTATCTATATAGGGTCAGAGGCTGTTCATGTACAGTATTTGTACACCGGAATAAAATATATCGACCTCGGTCTTTGTATGCTCGCAGGCTAGCTTGCGGTATTCTGTGGCGGATGCCCCACCCGAGGCCTCATTTATCCTCGAACTGAACCCTATGAGCTTCTTTTGGGGACCGAGTAGGAAGCTGAGCATCTGCGCTCGATACGACGGGCCTGGCGGGGACTCAAATATGGTGGTCATGGAAATCGGCATGCTATCCGGTTACACGCCTCATAAAGCCGAATTGACGAAGGAGATTGACGAGCTTAGGAATGCAGGCGAGTTTTTTCCTCAGATTCCTTCGCTTCGATACGTACGAGTATATAACGAATGATGAATACGAGTCAGCGGTACTGCGTACCGAAATACTGCCGTATATAAAACCCCGTTGATTACAGCTATGCTGTGAAATTTTTTTACGAGAAAATTCCCTTAAACAAATCAAGGTACCATAATCATTCAAAATGGAGAAGCAACAAATAATTGAATCTCCAGCACTAATATGCTGCATGTCTTCGAGAGGATCTTTATGCAACTGTATTCTATTATAGTGTTTATTTATAAAATTCTCTGTGCGTTCCCTATATTCTGCAACATTTTTCAATGCACAGTACAGGAAGATTAAAAATTATATTTTTGTTTCATTTTTTAATTTGAGAACTTTTTGCAGAAGCGTGTTTTCATACAATGAGCACTTCATATACAGTATATATCTCATACAAAATTACAATACTTACGGGCCTTCAAAATTGAGGTGAGGGATTATTTATTTTTTCTATATTTGTTGTGAAGAAATTCACTCTAAAATAATGAAAAATATTCAACCTGAATTTACTGAACTCAAAAACTACTATAAAAAATTACTGTGAAATATGAGGTCTTTCAAAAATTCAGCAGATTTTAAGGTTCCACTGAATTCTTTGCAGGTTACAACACTTACAACATATTACTGCATACTGTGTTGTTCTACGCAGTTTGAGTCATTTTCGCGATCAGGGAAATTGTCGATCAATCGTCTTTAAAATGTATACTTGCTCACGAAGAAGCTCTTGGGTTGCTTGCGAAAGGAATCAGAAATAAAGAAAATCTTCTGGATGACGCCCACATATATGACGGAAGCGCAAAAGTTCTGAAATGGATGATCTTGGTCTTCGTCTTCGCCCGCGGGTTTTTCTTCCACTTGTGGACTTCTCCTGATGTTGGTTTTCCTTCTCCACAGGTGTGAAGAGATGGGAGGTGAACCCTCAAAACAACCAATTGAACCTGTACTTCAACTCTTTGAGCCCAGAAACTAAATGCATCACTGTAAACCTCATTCAAAACGTACCCATGGAAAACTTGGTTCCCGCAGTTGTTCGAGTTTACGATTATTACAACCCAGAGTTGTTCGCGACAAAGGTACGCAATTTCTTCTGTGACGTCGCTCAAGTGTCGACAAGACACTGTATTTATCTTTTTTTTTTCTATAAAGAACTACACGTTTGAAACGTGGGAACCGACACCTCCGATTGCCATCGACCCGATTTCTAGCACAGCTAGTCCAATTCCGATTCCCGTCGTCACAGCACTGCCTATTCCGCTTCAAGCAGAAAATAATGGATCCGTGCCAAGACTGGTATCAACAGCGGAAGATTGCAAACCTAATCAAAAATTCGACAGTCAGAAGCAAACGTGCTACGGTAAGGACTTCATTCATTTTGTCTAGAAAATATTGACATTTTTGTCTCAATCGCAACCTAAAATACCTCACAAATGAGGCGCCGTCAAGTACCGCAGAAGACGCACCTATATTTAAATTTTGCGCTTCCAAAACTGCGTGCGAAATATTTCTGTGCAACCTGCATTGAAATTCTAACAAGACACATCTGTGAGATTGTGGCATGTTCTTCATGTATGCTGTGGAATCGCAATCGAAAACAATCTTCGAAAATCCGAATCTGGATGTCTGTAATTACTATACAGTACTGTAAATTTATTTTACGAATCAAATTTTTTATCCTCAGATTGCCCGTCATTTTTAGTTATGCATTTTTATTATTAGGGCATTTTTTGGGATTATTATTGGCATTATTATAACCGAATATGCTTGGAAATCGTCCGGAGTTTATGTATTATATGTATTTTCGGAGTAAATATTTTCGAAAGACATATGCATTATTATATCTGAAAAGACAGTGAATTTCCTCGTTTGTCACTGCCCGAAAGAGTTTTATGATACATCAGTTATCTTCCATGGGAAAAAATAATGTTCCACAGAGTTCAAAGAATTTTATCTTCATAATTTCAGACGACAGTTCGACAACTACGTCGTCCGCACAAAATGGAACACAGGCGGGAATTGTGACTTCTACAATCGTCCCGAAAACGGATGCGAAGCTAACAACAACTGCAGCAGTTCCTTCTCGAGTCGGCGGGCGCATAAATAAGACTTCTGTGGCCCCTTGATGAGAGGAAAGCAGGATTGGCATTAGAAAGCTGGCTGTTTTTGCCAAACAAAATCTGCAACAATTCAATTTTTGTATGGCCAGTATGCGACGCAGTTTTCGCGTAAACGTCCTGAAACTCTGAACGTTGATGAACCCCTTTACCTTTCTCGGAGAAATTCAGTGATGATATCGATTCCGAGCGAATGCATTCGTTTTGTTTCATCTTGCTGAGCCTGGCCGGCCGCAAGCGAGCAAGCCTTCAAATTTGTATGCAAATTTTCGAATAAACGACGACTTCTGCTAACTTTAAAGACTTGTGTGTCAAACAAATAATCCGTGGAAGCGAATTCATTGTTGGAATGTTGTCAATTTTTACAATGATTCGATCTTCGCTCTTAAAAAAAAAGCGTACTTCTCCGTCTGAGAAATACTGCATATTCCTTCTAATCCTTCTGGTTTTTCGCTGGGTAGTGCATGCTTATACATTAGATTCAACTCTTTTGCATGAACTATAGTAAGACTGTTAAATGGACAAGTTCATCATATAATGTTTTGCTGAATCGATCGAAAACTGGGCGAAGAACGTGTCGAGCCGTGCATCTGTGTATTCAATCTCGTGGGAAGCTGCCATATTTCACGGCAGTTGACCCAATTTTTGTGAGCATATTACTGGTGAATGTGTGATACGAAGACTTCTGTTGATGTCTTTTCACTGACGAGGCGAAAGGGAGAGAAGAATTGAATTCGGAAGCATGTGTTATTTATTCATTTAATTTTGGAAATGACTCATACCGTCTGTGAATTAAACCGGCGGAATCCGGACAGATCAACTTATGGATGAAACGGGGCTTCGGCTCCGTGTATTGTATCGTCACTATCACAAACATATCAACTTCGTAAAACAGTGAAACTTCAAAAAGTTGAATTATATTTAGATGAGGCTGGAATAAGTCGTTGCAGCGGTATAATACTGTTGGTCGACGAACATCATGAATGCCTCTCACGTTGGTAGACGAAACTCAGCCATTTGAGCGTACAGTACAGTACATTATTACGAGAGATAGAAACGACATCTATTGATGTTATCCCGTACTTCGACGACAAAAATGGGTCAATCGGATCAGTCGATTGCGGTGCTCGTTGTACGTTGTGTGTGCTCTGTCTAAGTTGGGATAGATCTATTTCGATAGATCCATCTAACGTTATCATGGTCATTTCCAGCGAAGTGAAACTCCACAATTTTTGCCTAGATAGTAGCTGTGAAAAAAGTCTCGTCACCTCTCGTGTACAAGTGTCCGGTCTCGTTAGTACTGCAGTTGTGAAAACCGTAGAAATGCTTGCCCCGCTCCGGGAAGATGTGCTTGTTCGAAGGACCCTGCGCCGAAGTTATGGATTGTGTAAAAGCGAATTTCTGCTTGCACTTATGTGATCCTGCTCGTGAGTATCGGTCAGAAGTGTTGCAGCTGCACATGTGTGAAGCAGAAGATTGTAACGATTCTGGTATCTTTATCAGATCAACAGGACATCGAGTTCAGGTTTTTTCGGCTAACGGTTGCTGTGATACGGTACCTTAGTGTTTCATAATGCGCGACCCGGGTTTGTTCCTGAAGGAGTTCGGAATAGCAGCTGCTATTGGGGCAACACTATTGATCGGCATCTCGTGGTGGTTTCTAGGAAGGAAGACGAAACGTACCTTCCCTTTGCCTTCGAAGTGGCGCCCCGTTGGAACTGTATCAAGCCTTAGAGTTTATCCCGTCAAATCCTGCAAAGGAGTAGAAGCACAAAAACTCCTAGTCGGTCCTGCAGCTCTAAGCAAAGATCTGAATGTTGACAGGTGGGCGTTGCTATGTTGAAGTTATTGTAATTGCTTTTCTCCGCTGGCGCTATAATATTTACCGCTTTTCGTTCCAATTTTGTGTTTCACGATATTTCGATAGTTAGCAAGTGCTTTCCAATCTTTGCAACTTTACCCTATCTTTGTATGCACATGCTTGGAACTTAATCCACCGGAAAAATCGTTTGTCGATGGTTTTGAGTATAACTGCACTTACATGTCTTCGAGTCAGTTCCGTGAGGTTTTATTCTCGCGGTTATATGTGTTGTTTTGATTAAAATCTACGCACGAAAGAGTATCCAGTTCGTTTTCTCGTTTTCGATTATGCAGGCAGTTTATGATCGTCGATGAAGCTGGTCAACTTGTCTCAGCCAGAACTCATCCGAAGTCCGTTTTGATAAATGCTGAAATAATCGAAGAGGGACTCCTGCGTCTTACTGCACCAGATATGCCACCGTTAGAGCTGAATTTCCCATCGAATGCTTCCAATACGCCTGAATGTCGAGGAATTGAGATGGACTGCGTGTATGTTTTATTTATATGAATTGGAAATTATTAGTTTGCAAGTCTGTATTCCGGTAGAATCCACGGTCGCCCTGTGAAGGCGATGGACATGGGCAACGCAGTATCTCAATGGCTCACAGAATTTCTTGTTTTTCGCACTGATCGACCTGCCGAGTTGCGCTTGGAAGTTAGATTGGTTTTTCACCATTTGCCTGCCGGACAGCGTCGAAATTTGGCGAGAGCACTTTTGCATCTTCCATTTGCTTCAGAAGATGATAAGGTTGGTGGAAAATGTTCCGACATCAGTGTATAATTTACAATATTACACAGTTAATGCCAATCGGTTGATGGTGTCGACAAGCGTGTACACTATATCGGCGAGTGGAGAAAGGATGCGAATGGTAGTCTGAATTTACTCTATTCAAGTTCTCCAATGCTTGAAGTTGTGTTCCTATGAAAGATGAACTAGTACAGTACTTGGTATAATATATCATTGAAATCGTCTCCAAACTATCTTATTTCAGTCAATGTTCCACGATGAAATCGGTGCGGCACATATCATCAGTGACGCATCTTTGGAAGATTTGAACGATCATTTGAAGGGCACCGGGACTTCAGTTTCAGCTTTGAACTTTCGACCTAATATCACCATCTCAGGAGGCCTTCCATATGCCGAAGATGACTGGCTATTTGTGAAAATTGGAGAAGCCGTATTGAGGACCGTTCGTCCATGTACAAGGTGCATTATGACAACAGTTGATCCACAGAAAGGCGAGAAAAACGAAAATAAGGAGCCATTGGCGAGTTTGCGAAAGTATGTACATTATTGGATGTATGAATTCGAGAAATTCACAAGTTATTATTTGTTCCTTCCGCTAGGTATCGCACTGTGGAAGACGAAACCATGAACAAGTTTTTTAACTACGCTCCGAAATTAGGTACAATTTTGTCAGTGTCCCAAACAGGGTGTATTTCTGTCGGTGATACAGTGTATACCGGTGAGCCGTGAACGAAGTTACCGTTCGGCAACTTCGGCTAGTTCGTGATTGAAGCTTATTCTAGGGGTTAACCTAAGCATGTCTATGAAATCGGTCTGTGGTCATTTGCATTCTATCCCGTATTTTTCATAGTGCAATATTCATGGTATTTTTTATTCGGCGATTTTTTTAGTTTTCCTGGGTTGTCCAGAACCGTCTTCTGTGAATGATTAACAGTGTTTCATTTTAAACCGAAGTGTTCCGAATTTTGTTCAACCTCATCTCGATGTACGCGCAGACTGTGTTATGTGATAATCATAAATTCAATTGAAGCTCTTGCGTGGTACAGTTGGAACTCGGAGAAATTATCTCTTGATTATCTGTACTCCGTAGTCCGGACTTGGCGAGTTAGTGTCTTACTGCTATCATACCGTTTGTTGATTTCTGCAGATCGATCAAAGTACAGCATCTTTCTGGTTTGATTGTAGCTTAGTAGTGCTTTATGTACTTCGGTTCATATTTAGAGAAGATTCAAGGATTGCTTGTTCCAGTTACTCCAAGTAGATTTGATGTCCTCCTTTATTCATAAGAATGAATTCAACCGTACTTGGAACATGAAACGTCATTCCCCATTTCTTCAACTTGATCTTTCCAGCGGAAGGTTTGGATTTTTCACGGGAAAATTCGGCCCAAGCTGCGAGAACATCAACATAGAAACACTAACCACGCATTTGAAAAAATTAAATTGGTCATGTGATGCATCATTGTATTGTGAACTCCATGCCGCGCATGTTCATTGTTCCAGTGAAGAAACATTTTGAAAACTTCGTAGGGCTTCTGTACAATTCGGCTGACATAAAATGAAAGCTTGAATTCATATCCTATTCGCGATGAGCTTTTCTAACGTTCTTCGATGAGCTTGTTGGTGATGAGGCTTGGAAATGCTGTATTCTTGTGCGTGCGGAGTGATAAAACTATGGCCGTATGCTCCGTGTTGCTTTTTCGATCTTTTCATTTGATTTATTTTTGTGTGTGTGGCTTCATGTGGACATGCTGAAGCGGCTCGCTGCAATTTTACGCAAATGATCAGACACCATCAGATAACCTATCTCAAACAATAGGAAGAACTGTTCCGCAAAATTCGACGGAAATGAGGTGAGTTGAGGCCTCGAAGAGCATTGAAAAGGAGACGAAGTATGGTGATGATTCCTGCTCTCGTTACTTTCAAGCTTCCATGACGGGGAGGAAAATTTCATCCAGAGATCGATTTCGAGCCAGTCGTTGATTCTTGATTTGGAAAACGAGCCATCAAATTAAGTGTTGAGATCCCATCGGTAGTGCAATGGTGAACGTAAAACGCAGCGATATAACTTACAGAAAGGTTCGTCTTCATCTTTGAATGTAGCTTTCTAGAAAAACGTCAGTATTGAACTTTGTTAATGTACAATACTTGAAATGTAAACTGTATTCGAACATTCGTCCTATTTAATGCTATTTTATGCCAAAAATGAAAAAGAAAAGAACAGTGATCTCGCTCTCGTAACTTTGCAGTACAATCGGTTCCATTCTAAAAAATTGCTTGAAGAAAAATCCTCATACGAAATTTTTACACAGGAAGAGATGGATTTTCAGAAATTTGTTTCTAGGTAAAATGTTTTTGAAACAAGAAAGTTCTTGAATTCCAGTAATTTTATACGAATGAGAATACAGTAATTGGGTGTTCGTTTGGGGCATCATTTGTTAAAAAATTGCTCATGGACATGGAGTGAGAAAAATTGGATTATTAACTAGAAGTGCTGCAAATGGACCATGAATATTTTCAAGACATTAAGTGCACCAGCTTGAAAGGATGTTAAGTCTGATATTTGCGAGAGGACGATGCAGTTACATTTTTATTGAAACAATTTCATCACTTGGCGCCATTGTTTATATTTTATCGAATAAAAAATTGTGGGCGTTTTGCAATATTTTTTCTTTTTTGGCGGAACTCTCCTTTTTTCTTGATGCAACCTCAAGGGTGTGTGTGGTCGGCATTTACCATTTTTGCAGCAGAAAATAAACCCTCGATTTACTTCGATTTGCGGGGCCCATTGCATCGCTATGCTCGCTCCCTTTATAAATCAAGGCAACCCGACAGAACAATGATGTAAATACTAAATAGCATGGAATCGGTTCATAACCCTCAACATTTTTGTTTGTAGAATTGCTTGCTCTTACGATTTTTCCCCATAAATACAGCTCTCAAGCTGTAATGTTCCTGATACCTACGGCGTTAATCACTTCGTACTTCCAGTGTCCATAATTTTTATGTAATTCCGAGTTGTCGACGTTACAATTTTCTTTTTTCCGGAGAGATTACGAATACTAATGTACTTCGGCGTTTTTAAATAATTATGCCTGTTCTGTTTTTTTTAATTATGTGCTCAAAAATATGTGTATAATTTGAAGTACTTTACAGAGTACAGGTGGTACCTCGCAATTCGACCCGACTCCGTTGCCGAACTAGGGTTGAATTGCGAGACACTCTGCGAAATTTAAAAAAAATATAAGTACAAAAGCGCAACAATAATGGAAAAAGGAGGTCGAATTGCGGGGGCAAGGGTCGAATTGAAAGTCAACCTCCCTGCAAATTCGACCATCGAATTGCGAGGTACCACCTGTACATGGATCATGTATCGAGTCATTCAACGTTTATTCGTACCCAATTCTTAAGCATGCAGCACTTCAAGATTCAAATGTCAAGCTGTACAAGTAAAAAATAACCCATGTGTTTTACCATTCCAAGTGATTGCCCTAACTTTTAGTGCAATACACTGTATTTTCTTCATAACAACTCATCATTCAAGAGAATCAAGACTGAAGAAATGCGGCTCTCCTATCGTACAATTTCGAGTAGTTCACGTTTGAATTTTTTTTTTACAATGTACAAGGTTTAAGATCGCACATATTGGCCTATAGAGGGCCTTCTTTCTCCTTTCCGGTAAAATATATGTTAAATCACTAGTGTATAACTGTGTAGGATCCTTACTGGTCTCATTCTCTTACGTCTAACATAAGTTCTGTTGACGGCATTATGTTCGAGATTCTTGCCAAAAAATGTTTTCATGATCTCCGTGAAAAAATCATTTGGGCATCAGACGAAAAAATGAATTTTCCTGATGGCCGATTGCTTGATGAACCAAGTGGCAGGAAGAAAAAAAAAGGAAAGAACGGGTACCTATAATCTGCACAAGTACAGTACGAGCAGTCCCGAATATATACATGGGGCAATATAAAACCCAAGATGTGTTTGAATTTCAGGAAATTATGCTGAGGAAGTTTCGGAAGTTAACAAGGATTGGTATGGATTTATCTACTCAAAAATGAGCAGCATGTTGGCGGCAAAGAAAGCAGATCTTCGACTAGTGTTAAATTTTTTTTTTGAGAAACTCTCTTATTGGCTGATTGACCATGAACTCTGAATTCACGAACACAATTCTTGGTTTATCTCGTTAAAAATCTGAATCAAAGAAATCATGTTTGCTTGATTTTAACTTGAAGGAATATTACTGTAGCAAGGATTTAAATTTTATGCCGCGGAATTATGGATCTAAAGAACTTTTGATATAATCTCATTATAGTAGACTTGACTTGAATGTGGTTAATGTACTTTCAATTGACTTCGCTCAAGTTTTCAGACTGATTAATCCTTCTTTCAAACCCATCGGAAAAAATGATCTAAAGAACTTTTTGATATAATCTCATTATAGTAGACTTGACTTGAATGTGGTTAATGTACTTTCAATTGACTTCGCTCAAGTTTTCAGACTGATTAATCCTTCTTTCAAACCCATCGGAAAAAAATGCAGTGTATGCGTTATCCAAGCTTCTGAGTTTGAATCAACGATAATACAATTCACTATAGAATATATTCTTAGACTTAGCGGAAGTCGTCTCTTCATTTTCCCCCAAAATTATCCCCAATTGAATCTGTGGCCTCTTCAATTTTTTTCTTGTTTTGTATTTAAAATTATGTGGCAACCTGCTTCGCATCACTCGCAAGAAAATTTATTGAACAAAACAACATCAACTTCATTGAAACATTGCAATAAGATTTGTTGCCCATTTCCTGCAAAGATACTTTAGTTTTTCATATTTGCCCATGGAGGGATTAAATATGACTGTGTAGAAATTTGTTCAATTCCGTTATAATTTTCATCGATGGGTATAGCGCCGGTCTGACAAACATACGTTTGTAAATTTGCGTCTTCGAAAAGGCTTTTTTTTTTATTCACAGTAAGATATGATTCAGCTTGAAAGCAATCGGAACCGCATAAATTTGGTGAATAAGCTAACTTGATGGCAGATTCTTAGTTGTCGAGAGACCAGATCTTTCATATAGTTATCGATAGTCTTCCGTTTCTTTCTTTTTTTTTCGGTATTTCGCAGTAATTAATTTCTCACTCCGTTGCACAAAAGGGTAGCGTCAAGAATTTGAAGAACTGGGGTGTGAGTCACGTCTACCCAGAAATACGGCATCTCAAGGTTCTTATTTATCCTGGCAAATTCTCAAAAACAGCTTCTCTCTTTCTTGTACAAAAATAAACAAAGACTGTCTTTTTTTTGCGAACTTCGTGGTTTTCTTAGCAAATCCTGATTGAATAACCCTAATGATCTATCTTGAAATCGACATCGAGGGAGGCTCAACTATAGTGCTGGAACGACTCTCTCGTCCGCGTCGCTTCAAAAATGTTGTTCTTTTTGGCGCTCCGAAAACAATTCTCGCCTAGGATCATCAATTCTTTCCCCCTTCGTACGAAACAGACTTGCAAATTTGCTCGTGTTTCAGTGACAAGAGACAAAGTGACGTAGAAAAGGCATTCCCACGGTTTCGCTCACCATTTCCTGTTGTCGGGTAAGTGAGGGGTGGGAAATGTGGGGGCGATTTTACCGTGTACTTGCGAGTTGGTCAGCCACGAAAAACTCAAATTTCCGCGGAAACTGTAAATATTGCGCGGGTTCGTAGACTTTATTATTAATTAGGTGCGAATCAACTTTCATTCTGAGAAGTTTGAGCGTCCGTGTTTGAATAATTTCAAACCCGGAATTTTCCATTACTTATTCTTTCAGATTTTTGTTCAAGCCACCTTTGTCTGTTTACATCGCTGTTGATGAAGGATAAACTAAAATTCGATGGAAATTCTTCGTCGCTTTTGCTTCTTCAGGCTTAGTCAAGTCTCTTGACAAATAAAAGA